ACTCCCCCTTCGAAATCTTCTTCTTCTTGATGCGGGTTTCTTTCTTCAACGGCGTTGTGATGTTGATCATCGAGTTCGGGCGGCTTCTGGTTTCCCAGAGCTTCAAGATCCTGTGACAATGGGAACTGGAACTTCCCTTCCAGGAGTTCAAGCCTTTTGGCCCTGAAAGTCCTGAAGGCGTCATTCTCGATGGCCTCGTTGATTCCCTGCAAAGGAGCAACTAAGTACTCTTCCTTGAAGACGAAGCCAGGCTGGATATGATACCCGAGGAAAATTCCTTCAATACCCGTCCCCGCAAACTTTGACCTTTTGGGCTGCTTCTGCTTGGGGTCGGCCCAGTACAAAATCTTAGCCCCAAAGGGAACAAGGACCCCTTGGAAGTCGCTCCCGAACCTTTGATTCCATGGCACTAAACCGTTGTCAAGACGTTTACTAACGTTCAAAGAAATAGCGTGATGTTGGGATGCAAGTGGCCAGAACTGATCAGGTAAACCAGATTGTACCAAATTGGCACGCGTACCTTCCAAGATCGTTCGTATTTCACGCTCGATCACTGCTTTGTTCTGATCCACATACTCCCTGGATGTATTGTGCCTAGCTTGGAGTTGCTTAACCGCGTAGTCGAACTCATGAGCGTTGTCAGAGTAAACAACCTTAACATTATCATCGACCTCGAAAAAGTGCAGTAAATCTTCGTAACACTGCTCACCACTTTTGTTGTCGGCCGGGTAAACATAACGGAACTTCGTAAAGACATCCTTCACAACATGTGCTACAGTTTGTCCTTCGAATCCGTAGTCCTTGGCGTCCTTCGTGATGATGTGGTCGATGGTGATGTGGTCACCGAACCCCTTGCTGTGCACAGTGCTAGACCCTCCCTTTCTTCTGGCATGCGGAGCATACATTTTGGCTCGTTGACATACCGGACAGAAAGGGTTCTTTGGACGATGACTCAAAAGATGCTGCACGGATTCCGCTTCAGCTCTTAGAGACGCCTCGTCCTTCTTCGACTTTGGAATGTGGACCTCAACGTCGCTATCGGGCACATCTTCACCGCCATCGGGCATGGTAAAGACAGTGATGGTCATGTTGGTACCCTCAGGTACCTTCCCGTAGACGGCGTCGAGCTCGTCCATGTTGACCTTGTTCTCCAGCTGCTTCCACTCGCCATCTTTGTATCCCCAGGTGGAACGAATTCGATACTTGGGGTAGCGAGGTGCAGGTGTTCTGAAGGTCTTTGGGTTATGGGCAACCTTGACGTGGGGATCACCATTCACAGTAACCCATCCAGCCTTCAACAGTTGCTCTTTCTTCATGCCTTCAAGAGGGGGATCCTTGGTTAGGATCTCTGCCAGCCATGGTGGATGATCTCCCTCGTCCGCCGCAGGTACCGGGACTACACCGTCTGGAGCTCCTGGAAGTGGTCCGGCTGCTGCGGCATGCCCTTTCGGGCAGCTTATGCGTGAAAATCCTGCTGCAAGGAGCAGGTGGGCGCCATTCGTTCACCTTCATCGCGATGCGCTACAGCAGCTGGGTGTCCGGAATCATTCCCAATACTGCTGAACACTGGAACATTCCCCCGTAGCGTGCAAGTGAGCTTCTGGCCATCGGGCTTCACGAAGTACGGAACTTGCCCTGGAGGCCAGTAAAAACCGTACCCTTGCTGCATGCACTTCTTTCCCACAGAGCAAACCGGTGGGGTATCCGGGAGTTCCACGAATTCCAGGCTGCCATTCATTGACGGAACCTCGACTTCTGTCCTGGACGATGCCTCCACGATGCCATTGGCCGTGTGAAGGTTGACTGGCGTTGCGTCGACTTTTCTACCGACCCCTTCGAAACACTTTCTCAAGTCCGAAGAGCTGATAAGGTCCTCTTCACTTCCCGTATCGGCAATGATGTCCAAGCTCTGAAGTTCCTTGCGCGCTGGAGCGGCAGTTCCTGACATTATGTTTCCTGCTGCACAATGCCGACAAGCGAAATCAGGCTTGCAGCAGCGATGCTTGCATTTTGTCTTTTCACCATGGAGTTCCGAGTACACTGAGGCCTCAAGATTTTGTGCGTTGATGACTGCACACTGAAGATCACCAGGGTCGGACATAGGGCAATCAGCATTGGTTTTGAACCTTGCCACACATTTGCGCTTATGGGGAACAAATTTCCAACCATCTCCGACGCTTTCAACTGGGTGTATCTCAGGGTGCCTTTCAAAACACACACTCATGTCTTTAGGCTTCAGCTTGAAACTCGTAACGCCCGTCCAATTGGGCAGAGGTGCTTGCTTGTCGCACGTTTTCCAATTGTACTGTAACGTTCGCTCTTCGCCGGTTTTCAGCTTCATGGTGATGCTCGCAACAGACTTGATTCTCCATGCTGGAACGGGGCAGCTTTGGGGAATAAAATAGTTGTTTCTCAGAACAACATGTTCCCTAGACAGCGTGAGTGACTTCTCATCAAGACGCCATGTGTCTGCATGCCTACCATCCGGCTCACCCTTTCGGGCGGCTAAGGCGTACACGCAACAGGCAGCTGCTTTAGCTTCTGTCCTCTTCTTCCGGCTCGGCCTTCGCTTAGCCGGGGAGGGTGCACGTGCCTTAGCCTTGGCCGGGACAGAGGGCGATGCGGACTTGTCCTTGTGCAAGAACTTGCATTTGTCCCCATTCCTGCAAGTACCCTTGGCATAAAATACGCATGGGATGTTGGAGGTATCTTTGCTGTTGCTCTTCTCTCTCTCGCGAGAACCTGACTTAGGCCGGTTGGGAGATCTCTCCCTTGAGGATGCTTTGGGGTCTTTCGTGTGTTCATACTTGCAACGCTCCCCAAACTTACACTTACCCTTCTGAAACAACATGCAAACCTGCCTACCCTGACGTCCTCTGGATGGCTGTCGTCGCTCCGAGGGAGCGGGCGCCGACGGCTTCGCAGGGGTAGGAGGGGCAGGTGCACCATACTTTGCGCCATGGGCCTTAGCAATCTTGTCCCTGTTCTTCCTAATTCGTTCTCGTGTGAGGAGATTCTTGATGCTTTCCATGAGGAACTTGTAGGTGTGCTCAGGGGTCCCCTCACGAGCCCGATCGTAAATGTCGAGATCATACTTCAAACGATGGGACTTGCGAAGCTCACGAAGGAATATGTCTCGCAAAGTGGTTTCGTCTGGAGGATGCGACAGTCCAGCAATCACTGAATCCCAGTTATGCACGAAGGTAGCGAGGTCATCATTGATCAGTGCCACTTTCAAGAGGTCTTCGACCGAGTAGAGGGAGCCAACTTCTTCGTTGGTTTTAAAGTAGGCTTCAAACATTAACAGCACTTGCCTACCTCTCACTGCTCTACCACAGGTGGCCTCCGTCTCCTTGTAGTTGAGTATTTGTCTCGCAAGCTCGCCCTTCGCCACCCTAGACAATGCTGCAAGGATTTTGGTGTCTAGCGTGAGGAATTTCCCTACATCGTTGAGGCTATCTAGTGAAGCACCCTTTGCGTACACCTGCTGAATCCACGCAAATGCTTCATCAGGGTGATCAGATGCAGCTCGAACAGCCTCACGCACTGCCGTCTTCCACGATCTGTACGTCTCCGCTGAGGGAAAATCCGGAAGTTTCACTGTCTCGGCTTCCTTAGTCTTAGGTTTCGTCTCATCCTTGGTAGCAAAGTCCTTGAGCGCTTTTGCAATCGCTTCATGCACTTCATTAGGGGCCTGCGAAACAGGAGTAGATGCCCCCAGATTAAACCTCTGGGGCCGTCTCTCAAAGAGACCCTTCATGCTCTCTGGAATCTGCAACGGATTTGGCAAATCAGCATGCGTGACATGTGCATTACCGCATGCGGCACCCCCTTGCGGGGGGCTTGCTTCGGCAGTGTTCAAACCCGGTGGAGGTGCTGAGGCCATGGGAACAGCCTGCTGGTGCTCGGCACCACCTTTCGGCAGGCTAGATGACGCTGTAGCGGTTGCCTTAGCCTCATCAAGTTCAACCATCAAACGCTGGTTCGACTCAGCCAACTCCTGAATCAAGACATCACATGCACTCTCTTCTTCATGCATGGCATATGTGAACATGTTCTCTTCATACTGCATTTGCTCTCTAAATTCATTGCCTAAGAATTCCAGCTGGGTTTCCCTGTTTTGATCGTACACAACCCTGAGGTTAGCAAGGGAAAATTCACTCTGTTCGAGATGGGTCCTGAGGCGAGTTTCCGATTCGAGAACCATGTTACCTCGTGCCTCAAGCTCGAGATTGTGCATCCTGAGTGTGTGTGCGTCCTGTGCGGCTTGGTCAAGCTCCGCCGTTCGACCTCTTAGTGCTGCCTTGGTCTCCAGTAGTTGCTGTTGTAGCTCACGAACCACAAAGTCCATGCGGTCACTGATGACTTCAATCCGTGCGCGATGTTGGGCATCAGCGTGTTGCTCGAGTTCTCCCATTTCTGCACGGGCCTGTCTTGTAGCCATGTCCAGGATTTCCGCATGTCTGCGTTCGGCTTCGATACGAACTCGCTCTGCATCCTCGTTTTGTTGCACGATGATCAGCTGCTGCTGTACCCGGTACTGGTTGAACTGTTGGTAGTTGGTTGTTGCAGTCTGATCATGTTGCGCATTGGGATCAATGGTCCCATCTTGCAGCTGCAGAGCCATCGTGTGAGACTCTACGGCTGATAACCTGAAGTTTTCAGGTCAGCACATGAGGGAACATATAAACCGTTAAGTACGCCTCTTTTTATCGGCAACTTGAGCCACAGTCGAGGGTAAAGCGATGGTATGCACAGCTCGCAAAAGGAGTGTAATTCCTCCATGAAAAACTACACACTACGGGACCTCAAAAACGCCTTGAAAAGGAAACTAAGCCTTACGTATCCCTAAACTATCACACGCAGCATCGCGCAAGCCCTCGTGCATGAGCCGCAACGCAATCCCCCCCCCCCCCACCCCCAACATGCAGCTGCTCCGTTTAATGCCGTTTCAGGCTTTCCCGCCGCACCCTAAGTCAGTTTCCCCGCGGCCAAGGCGCATCTACGGCATCCATACACTTCCTCGCAGCTTCGACCGCCGCGAGCAGCGCTGCGCCGCAGGCCGATGTGCTTGGCGCCCCCTGGGGCGTTTTTTGCCCCCTAAACCCTAAACCGCAACCTGGGGTCTGTGCTCAGGGCTTTCATCGGAGCTTTGGGTCGCTTCGGGGCTTCAGGATTGGGAAGAGGCAAAGAATATTCACCGGATCTGAGCCTCGGAGGCTTCCGCTGGGGCCGCTGGCCCTTGTGGCTGTGACCTCAGACTCTACAGAGCGGGTTGAGGGCACATGGATGCTTCGTCATCTGCCAGGGCGTTGGGGTGTTTAGGGTTTGGGGACACACGTTGGGGTCACACGCCGCTTCGCTCGGCAGCTTACAGCCTGCTTTGCAGCCTAAGCACCAAGGGGTCCGCGGATCCTGCCCATGATTCTCAACAGCAAGATTCAAGACCTTAACCCTAAACCAGAGCCCTGAAACCCAAACCGTAAACCCCAAACTGCAGCAGAGAGAGTTAGGGCGTTGAGCATGGCCTCTGGTCGCCTGGACGGCGCGGGCCTTGATGAGATGTCCTGCGCCACCAGCGCAATGGCCAGGTTTAGGGCGAATATCTGAACTCGGAAACGCTGATCCCAGTTCTGTCTCTGGCGCCTGCTGGTTAACCTCACAAGGGTCTGGTGCATCTCCATGGACCTGGGAATCAAGCGACAACATCGCTGGCACATTTTTAGGGGGAGATCCATCACGCAAGAATGCAACAAGCACTCCATCGGTTGCTTGGATCTGCTGCATTCTCTTCAAATTCGCTCGCATGGCAGGCAGAGCTGTCGCCACCATGCTCGCCATCACCCCAAACCCATCACCCAGCAGCGCAGCAAAAGCTACCAGTAAGGCAGTTGCTTGGATTTGCTACATGTTCTTGAGTTGCAACCGCACAGCGGCGCTGCTCAGCCGGTCTCAAGTCATCACAGATCCATCGCCCCGTGTCGTGGCAAAACTTTTTGTGGGTGGTTTTCGGGGCAAACACTGCCGCCACGCCACAGGAGGAAAAAAAAATCGAAGTCCCGAATTGTAGGCCCACCAGCTCTGCCAAGATTGAACAAATTAAGGCCGGGACCGCCTCTACTGCAAGGAGAAGTGTCTGGTCGTCATCCACCAGCTCCAGCAGCTCCTTCAGAGGCATTTGACCAAAGTGCAGGCGGGGGGACCCATTTCGTGGCCGTGCATCCGTCTCCTCGAATGGACACAGGGCCCCACCTGCGCGCAGTTTGAGGAAGCGGGCATTGACATGTACATTCGTAGATAGCTCTGTGTGCACGAAGGCCCTGTGAAACCTGCTCTTCAGACACCGCTCAAGCAACTGCCACGAACGTCTGTGCCGAGAGAGGCGGCTTCCTTGCCTGCAAGGAAGCGATTGGTTTCATCACGGCCTCAGAAGGCTGACGGACATTCGTAGCTGACCGCATGGCTTCCAGCAACCTGTTCGCACCCTTGTTCAGGCTCCAACCAAACGGGCCAGTCCACACCTCGCCGTTGACTCCTTTCCAAACGCGCAGGTCCATCTAGATTCTCAAGAAATCATGAGCTATAAAACCTGAAATGGTCTCCTGCCGTAAGAAGGAAGGCCGAGGTCGGTCGCTCGTGGCCCGCTGAAGACAACGTTAGGGAGGCAAAGCCTGGGCGTTGCCGGTAGAAGCCCCTAACAGGAAGCAACCCTAAACCTCCACATCCCCCCAAACCCCTTCCCCAAATCCTAAACCCTGAGCATCCATGGACCTCCCTGAAGCCCCTTGCAAATTCACGACCTGAGCCGGCCACCATCAGGACCCGCCTTCGAAGATCCATTCGGATGCAGGAGAAGCGTGAGGTTGCTGCCTAGCACCGAACGGCAGGGACTAAACGGGCTATGGGCACTACCAGATATTACGAGGGACTTTAGACTTTAGGCCTAAACTTTAGGCACTTTCGGAACTGGCGGTCTGCGGTGAACAGCCCGCCTCCTCCCAGCTCAAAGGGCAGGGAGGCCAGGAAAGCATTCGGGCTCCGCACCACCTGACGCAAAGGCACCCAGCTTCTTCACACCTTTCTCTTAATAGTCTGTTGCTTAGTGTATGAGGTCGTAATTAGACCATTCTCTTACAAAGATAAGTTGCTGCAGAAACAAGTCGGGGTCGGGCATGGAGCTGAACAAATCGCAGAACCCCTGCATGTCACAGGTCGGTCGGACATCAGGCCTGCGGAAAGTTGGGTATCAGCCACTCGTGCCGCTCCGTGACCCAGAACCTGGGCCGCCAGCGCGCTACGCCATACTCTAGACCCCTAAACCTCTAAACCCCTAAACCCGAAAGAGCCGAAAAGCCCATTAAGCCGCAAAGACGTCGAAAAACGTTCGAGATTTCATGCCACCTGCAATCCTCTTCGACCCTAAGCCCACGTGCTTCACCTCCCATCCGTGAGGTCGGCACGCTTCGAAGGCCGTGTCTCGCAGAAGGAACTGCCGAAGCACCTGGTGAGAGGCCCCAGGAGCAATCAGAGCCCACATCTGTGGTTGAGGGTTTAGGGTCCCTAGAACCCGAAAACTCTGCAAAAACTCCTCACAGCCAGGCATCGAGAGCTTCAAGATCAAGGGGCCTGCGACACAGGCCAGAAGGTTTCCGAACAGGTCCGGAGGGCCAGCCGCCTGAAGACCATGAGGCACAAAGAAAAGCAAGAGCGCAGAAAACAGGGCAAACCTGGAAAAAAAAGGCTGCGGGCTCTTCAGGTAACATTCCCAAACTCTGAACCCGAGCAGGCTCAGTAGGCCTGAGGCTCCCATCGCAGAGGCTTCGCTCAAGAAGCTCCGCATGGTTTGGGCCGGCACACGAGCCGAAGGAGATCTGAACCGAGACCTGCGACGAAACTGGCGTCAATAGGATTCGCCTGCAGTTTAGGAGCCGTGAAGCAGGGTCGTATGTCAAGTAAACCTTCTTCTCTGAATTCCCTGACCTCCCTGACCTCAAACTTCACCAAAGCCCAGCTGAACGCTCCGAGGCGCTACGTTGACCTTGTGCCAGCTGTGCCGAACCCGAAGGGTGAAGGCTTCTTGCGGCAAGCCCAGTAGCTGCTCGAGGAAAGTCGAAAGGTCGGAGACGAACCCATCCTGGCTGTGGAGTTCTTTTCGGGGGTTAGGGCTGTGTAAGGGCTTCAGAGGGTCTGGAGGGTTCAGGGACCTCCTGCTGCGGCTTTATGGTACAGGCTTTAGGCTTGGGGGCTTGTATGGGTGGCATACTGGACTTGAAGATGAAGGGGCCGCTTGGGCAGCGTGAACTCGAACGCCTCGCCTGCCAGTTTGGCATCCTCAACGCTGCTGTCTCAGCACGACCCAGGAGGCGACATCGCAGAGTGGGCGGCGGAGGAGAGGCACCCGCTGGGGCACCTGGCTCGCTGAGACTCCCGGACTTCGGTGACGCAGGTACATAGGTGCTCGACGGTCTGAGGCAGGCACTTGCGTGTTCCGATCTACGCGGAAGCGGACCTCATCTTATGTTGACAATGCCAGGTCTTTATCATCCGCTGCCACTACTGCACACAAGCCTGGCAAAACTGCTAGGTGTGCACACGAGACGAAACGAAGCACATGCCATGCAAAGCATTGCCTGGCCATCCCTGGCAGTTCAAGTTCAGGGCAGCAGGATTCGAGCGCTTTTTCTTGGGTTCTTCAGGGCTCACGGTGACTTGGAATCTCACGGCCACTCCAGTTCTTCTTGAGCCCGTCCACGGACTCCCGCGGCATCGCGCGATTCTCCTCACGAGCCACGCATTTTCGCCAACTGCAATCTAGCTAGGTTTCAGTTGTTGCTGTCTTGCAGACCTTCGCCCCCAGATTCCTCCTTCTGATGTCTCGCCGTCTGTGCTCGTCGCCAAGCATTGATCTTGGCGCGCTCGGCGGAGATCCAAGGTACGCGGACATCCTCAGATGCAGCCACACAGTCGACACGAGCACCCGAAACCCTGAAGCCAGTTTAGAGAAGAGAAGGAAGACCTCCAGGAAGACAGCCCAGCGGCCCAGTGCCGTGGCCTTGGGCGTGCGGCGCTGCGCGGCCGCGTCCTTCTAACAGTCCGGGCGGAAATTTAGCAGTAACAAGACGAATAACTGACATCCTAAAACAATAGTGATACTGACAATCTTAGTAACCGCTCCAGCTCCTGCAGGTGCATGGCCGAGGCGCCACTGGCTCGCGCAGTGGCTCGCGCAGTGGCTCGCGCAGGGTCTGGCGAAAGAGGCGATCCTGGTGTGCTAGGTGCCCTTTGGGTATCGAGATTGTCGGGCCTGGGCCTTCAACATACAAACATATACAAACCCAATTCCGCGAAGCAACCTACTGGTTCTTAGTAGGGAATGGTGCCCCTTCAACGGATTTTGAAGGTACCTACTACAAAACCAATCCCATCCTGCAGTACCCTTGAAAATTAACTCCCCAAAGTGCGATCACGACAGACCGGTCCTGTTGACTGCGGCTCTTCGCCCTGAGGTCGTCATGTTCGGCCCTTGCCGTCTTGCAGAGTCTCTCCTGGACAGAGCGAGATTGCCGCAACACAATAAGAGGACGATGAGAGGCGTGGCGCAGCTCCGTAGGAAAGCCCAGGCATCCTGCTCCGTGCTTTGGGTCATGGCCTGAAACTGCCGTGCCTGGAGCTCCTGTCAAGGCTTGGGCAGATGGGCATGAGTCGCAGTTGCATATGCGTGCACTCTCTGCAAGACACAATTCAGGAGTTCAGGGTGCTTCGAATACAACCCCAGGAAGCAAGACGGCACGATGCTGGCTTCAAGGGCTTGGAGAGAGCCAAGGCTGGGCACAGACAGCAGTGCTCTCGTCAGCCTCTCCTGAGCTCTGCGCTCATCCAGGAGCATCTGCCAAGCAGAAGCCGGATCCATCGCAGGCCACAGCAGAGGACAATGTCGGAAGCTGGTGCAGAGGCATGCGGAGACCACTGACGATGTAGAGTTGGGTTCAGGAGCGCGTGTGTCATATTGCTGCTGCAGCTTGTTGAGCTGTCGTCGCGTGTTAGTGCTCTAAAGCAGAAAGAAGCACCCTCAGCAACAGGAGGCGACGATCCCAGCAAGACAGCCTGCGACAGCTCCTCTGCACCGACTTGTTTTTCCCTAAACCTTAATCCTTAAACCCGAAACCCTAAATCTTAAACCCTAACTCTTGAACCCGAAGCTTCCCTGGGCTCCCCGGCCCCAGCCATGCAGACGTCGGCGTCGAAGCCAGCTCCCGAGTCGCGAAGGGAAGCCGCCAGTGGCATGAACTCCTGGCATGATCCCCGAAGCCCCTGAGTCCCTAAACTCCCTAAACTCCCTAAACTCCCTAAACTCCCTAAACTCCCTAAACTCCCTAAACTCCCTAAACTCCCTAACCTCCCTAAACTAAGACTTCTAAATTCCCTCATCACGAGTGATGCGAAGTTCGGGGGCTGTTCTTTGAAGCAGATGCGGCATGGTGGTTTCGTCAAAGTACTGCGCCGTTTTGCTCTCAGAAGGGTGTGCATTGTTGAGGGTGGCTAGAGTCAGATTCTAAGTGCCACGACCTGCGAGCATAATGAGCGACAAACTTCAACACAAATTGCGGGCAACATACATGCAACATGGAATCAACACGACATGGAGCAAAGCGAATCTATGCGCAAAGTCCTCCGCTTCTGAACGCACATGGCTGTGCGACGTCAACAACTTCCGGGCAAACGGACGTACCAGGAGCTCCGGCTGAGGACCCAAGCACATTCCGACTCAGCTTAGCACGGCCCCTCTGACCTGTAATCATGGGAGTCATTGTGCCTTGCAGGCACAAGTCAGCGTCCACATCATCGTCGCACTTGCCACAACATCACAGAAAATAAGGATCCCATGGCAAGTCATGTCAAGGCAAATGCAGAATGCTCGTCAAGTATATCTGCCCGTTTCAGATTAGCACGGCCCCACTGCAATGTCCTCATTTTGCCATGGCAGTAGGTCTGTCCTTTAAGGAGCAGATGAGTGTGCGTCATCACGATGGCCCAAACTTGACGGCTTGAACATGTCACAACATGCCACACGCCGCCAGCAGAAATGGAAAAGACGAACGCGCAACCGCTGCCGAAGCAATCTGAACTGCAGCCAAAGAACTCTCAGTAGACATGCTGGACCACTCTGAATCCGAACTCTATCCTCACCCTTCCTTACACTCCAAAACTTGGTCCAAAACCTTGCTTTTTGCGACTTTCCTTTACGAGCCGACAAGGAGCTTTGTAGCAACAACCTACAGAAATGGTGTCAGAACAGTAGGTCTTAGACTCTTGCGGTGAACCCTAAATCGCCTCCATGGGAAGATCTGGATCCAGCCCCCAGAGCCCAGCAACTAGGCGCTCGGCAGCGGCAAGCCTCGAGACGAGCTGGGGCTTAGGGCTTAGGGCTTAAGGCTTAGGGCTTCAGGCTTAGGGTTTAGGGTTTGGGGTTTCGGGCGTAGGTAGGGCATAGGCTTTAGGTGAAGGAACCCTGGGTAAACCTCAAGAACCTCGAGTCGCAAGATCCTGAAACCCTACACACCCGCACTCTCAACCAAGCTCTAGACCCGAAAATTATGATGCCACAAGCCCGAAAATCCGTCGGGAATTCATCCTGAACCCCCAAACTCGAAACCCCCCCCCCACCCTCCCAAATTCCATTTACACAAACTAAACAGAACCTCCTTGAGATTCAAAGCACTCTAGGACTTGGGCTTGCAAGAGGGTTCAAAGGACGGTGGACGTGAGGGGCTATTTAGTTAGCAGAACCCTTGCCCATTTCGGGTAATAATACCACCAGTCAACCCATTAGACGATTATTCCTATACTCCCCCCTACGCCTCACCAACTATATCACCACTACTACCCCATTACCAATGATGCCAATACCAGTATAGGAACAACCGATTACCTCATCCATATAAGAGGATTATTCCTATACTCCCTACTACACCCCACCCAAAAAAACACCACTACTACCCCATTACCAAGACCAGTATAGGAGTAACCAATTACCCCATCCATATTCCCTAACGTGGTATTATCATCCCGAAATGGGCAAAGGTTCTCTCATAGATTTTACTAGGTTTAGGGTTAAAGGTTGTAGTCATAATAGAATTACATTCCATAAACTCTTATGGAATGTGATTACAATATACTTCTGCTGTTACCTCACGTTTCCTTTTATCATTGTATGCCTTCATTCCATCAAGACATTCACAGCAAGTAACCGTGGTTCTATACTGCATTAAATACTTACCCATTTTACAATGATAATATCTTTTGAAATGCACTAAATTCTTCAACTTCTTACATCTAACACATTGCTGATCACAATGGGGCGGGTAATGCTCAGTATTAAATCCATGGTTATCTTATCAACATATACTGTCATATTATATTATTTTACAATATTTATCATAATTTATTAATTCTGACAAACATTGTTTCAAACTGGTATTATTACCCGAAATGGGCAAGGGTTCTGCTAACTCATTTTCCCCTACGAATCACCCTACATCGCCCTACAAATCCGGAGCACGGAATACGTGGTCAGGCAGTGCATTCTGATGCAAACGTGCTGGACCTGTGAAAACGGTTTGGCTTTCTTGCGCTGGCGGTGGGCTCCAAGATCCCCCATTGCAACAGCGTTATGTGGTCCAGGCATTAGCGTGTTTGCTGGCTGGGTTGGTTTGCTTGCTTGCTTTCCGCTGCCTTGAGCATAGGGAACTGCGCAGTGGGACATGCCCATGGGTCGGACATGCGCATGGCTGCAGGACCTATTCAAAGGGACCTGTGTATTTGCAAGGCTTGCGCCTGTACACACGACCCTTCGGAGGCAGGGCCTGTGCGACTGGACCTGCCAAAGTGCGACCTGCCCTTACCTTCTGTTCGAAAGCGAAAAGTGCTTCCTTTACGGAAGCCGGAGAAGGGCGGACCTCTCGGACATGCGCTCTTGTGCTTCAGAACTATGTTCACTATTAGACTATGCTTGGGGGGGGTGGGCGATGACTAAGCGTGGGACATGAAACCGTCAACCCTAATGGAGCAGAGTTTTTCAAACCCTAAACCATCCCAACCACTAGACCCGAAACCTTTTTAAACCAGAGCCTGGCATCCCAGGCGCTGCTGCAGGCGGCGGACGCGCTTGGAGACTCCAAGACCTCGAACAACGGAGGCCCTGATTCAGGGTTTCTGGGGTTCCGGGTGCTGCTCTGGTGGTTGAGCATTAGGTTTAGGGGCTTAGAGGCTTGGCGTACTGGTTTTGGGGTTTTGGGGTTTTGGGGTTTTGGGGTTTTGGGGTTTTGGGGTTTTGGGGTTTTGGGGTTTTGGGGTTTTGGGGTTTTGGGGTTTTGGGGTTTTGGGGTTTTGGGGTTTGGGGTTCGGTTCGGGCCTCAGGGTTCTAGGTGCATTTTGGGAGTTGGAGGATTCAACATCCAACGACCCCACCCCAGCGCGCGTGTGCATGCTGCGCCTCGTACAACGCCTCCACGGTCTTCGGGCTGTTGTTGATGTCCTCTCAGGACTGCCCGGAACCGGAGCAGCTAACACCAGGATGGCATTTCGCAGCTCCTCCAACACCTTCTGGGCGGCCGCTACAGCGCGGGCCTTCCCAAAGCAAGCAGCGGAAAAGCAATGCTGGGCTGCAAGAAGCGCTGCTTGCTCCTGCATCTACACCCAAAAATCGATCTGACGGTAGACATTCGTGGCATTTTCCGCATAGTGAGGGTGCTCATCCTTCCACAAAACCTGGCATGCCCTCTGAAGATTCACACTGCGCATGAGGCACCACATCCCTGCCACTTCTTGGCCTCCTGCACTGGCCAGAGGCTCAGGTCACAGGCACAGATGCCGCCTGGGAAACGTTCAAGGGTGCGCGGGCTCTCAGCTCCTTCGTAGCATCTCAGCATCTCCCTGAACTTCATCAGAAGCACAACAGAGCACAATGGCCTTGCTCGGCTGTCATGTCCTGCACGCGGCTTCGCGTGCGGGAGGCGGCAGCCAGGAGCTCTGGCCTCTGCAGGAGGGTTTAGGGTTTAGGGTTTAGGGTTTAGGGTTTAGGGTTTAGGGTTTAGGGTTTAGGGTTTAGGGTTTAGGGTTTAGGGTTTAGGGTTTAGGGTTTAGGGTTTAGGGTCTAAGTGAGGGTCCTCCTCTGGATCCCGTTTACAGAGGAGCCTCTAATGACCCCTTGTTTGGATAAAGTACCCTGAAAAGTCTCAGGAAAAAGATAGCGGCAAGTGATGATTTGCCTGGGTACCTGGCAGTGGCCATGGCACGCGCGACAACGTCTCCAGAGCAGGGGCTTCCTGCTGGGTGCAAGAGGGCACAAGCTGAAGGACCCAAGAATCTCTAAGAATCTAAGGGGTCTTATAATTCTCATGATCAGAAGAATTGCAGAACAATGCTAACGTTAATCAGAAGAGCAAAAAAAAAAAAAAAAAAAAAAAAAAAAAAACCTTGAATTGTCTTCGGGTTGCCTCAAGGGTGAGGCCCGCGAGCAGCGCGGATTCGGCCTGGCATTCTCGTTCGGGGGGGGATGATGGTGGCTTTTTCGGGCTTTTTGGGGGTTTGGGGGCTGTTTGGGCTCAGGTGCATGATGGTGCATGCAACACGCGAAAACCCAAGCCTCCTGCCACATCTGCTCGAGCCCTTCTCGGCCTGGCCGGACGGCTCCATGCTTCTGCCCGGTGAACCAGTGCACGACGACATGCCAAAAACGCAGTGTACATTATGCACCTTACACACCCTGAACCACTTGGGATGCTTCCTGGCTTCTGTAGCGCAGCTGCGCAAAGACGCTCGGCGCCGGCGCAGCTGCCAGTGTCCTTAGCACCGCCGGTACAGACCGTTTTGGGTTGAGAGCGCCGCGAAATGCCAGCGAACAAGAACAGATATGTAGCCCAGCCCAACCAGGGTTCGGGAGCCAGTACTCCCCACCAAAAGAAGGAGTGGTTGCAGCACTGACAAAGCATGGCCGTGAAAGCCTGGACCTAAACTCAAGGAGCTCAAGGCCCGTGTGTATGTCAGGCAGAAGTCCTGCTGCACACTGCATCTTCGGAGGCAGCAGAAAGCACTTCTCTTCTCTGCCTTCTTATCTCTTCCTCCAGGTTTCACAGAGGCGAGGTGAGTCTTCACCCCCGTCTCTCATAGCGCACTGGAGGGTTTCGACCCGCTCCCCAATTTCTCCCCGACTTCGAGGCTTGCACCACGGGCATCGTCAGGCCCCTCAGCGCCAAGGCCTCGGCAATCGGCCAGAGACCGACGCGCTCTAAAGAGAGAGAAGCGGGTGTGCTGGGGAGGATGTGGAAAAGATTGCCGATGCAATGCAACCCAAGGGGCGGCCAGCGCGGCCGCCGCGGCCAGCAGGGGGGCACCTTCAGAGCTCTCTCGGTTGTGCTGCTTTCGGGTCTTCGGCGGGTGGCGACGTGCCTGGGCCAGCGTTGCCCTGGTCCAGGCCTGATAGCTCAACCCGCCCCGCAAGCGACGCTGTTGGCACTCTGGTCTTGCAGTAAGGGATGCACGGGGACGTTAACAACCACCCCACAGGTTGAAAACTCCTCCCACCAAAGGTTAAAGGATTCCCCACAAGACTCAATCTTCGGCGCTGGGAGTTTTAAAACTCAGAGGGGGGAGTGTTAAGAACTCACCGACCTGAAGGTTGGAGGTCAAGGTCGTTCAAGGAATCTTCTATGGGGGAGCTGTTGAACTCAGAGGGATGTTCAAAAGCTAGCCCCCCAGGATTGAGGATAAGCGTCGGTCCAGGAAGGCGATAGAACCAGGAAGGCGATAGTAGACTCAGGAGGGAGTTGTAAAACTCCCCCCAAAAACATTTTCCCGAGGTTTCATGTTCGGCGAGGGGGGGGGGGGGTGTGGAAACCTAAACTCACCCCTTCAAATATTGCAGACCACAGCTCTGCAACATCAGTCCTGTACTGGCTTGTGCAGTATGTGCGAACCACAAATACGTTTCAGAAAGTGGGATTGTTTCTGTTCATGTGTGCTCAGTGGCGTAGTGGCGAGTGGTGTGGCACATATTCTGCTTGTTGAATCGCCACCTCGCCACCACAGAGTGTTGCTTTCCTGATACAACTGTTCTCCGTGGCAGCGTTCGACCTCGTGCAAGCTCCACTACACAGAATTAGTTGCTTAGTGTCGGCGTTTCATTACATGGAACGCTTTGCTACTTGAGGTGCTCTACTACGCAGATCGTTTTGTCTGACTGGAGCATTCAACAACACAGTCTTCTTGTTTCATTGACATCTTCTGTCACGTCGAACTGTCCAAGGATTTTCCCATGCGTGGCTGCACTGCCTGTGATATCATCATTGCGCAATGAAGAGCAAGTACTTGGAGACTCTATCGCACTGCGGAGAGTCTCTTTGTAGCTGTCCTTCATAGTCCTTCATTACCTGAGGTTGTCGCACGATTTCGTATTTCGAGGCTGTTGTTGCGGTGCCAAGATTATTGGCGTGGAAGTATAGAGTCTTGCGGGAAGGCGCAGCGCAATGGAAAGCCTGTTGTTTCATCTGAACACGGATGGGGCATGGATTTCTCTCAAAGACGTGGACTACAAAGCAGCTTTGCAGGGTTTTGCAGGGCTTGGGTCTGGCGGGGATGTGTACTGATGTAGGACATAAAGTGCTTTGGTGTTTACAGGATGTTGAAGGGGCTTGTGCTTTTGCTTTATGGGATATAGAACCTACGGTATATAGAACTGAAGCGCAAGTTTGCCCCCATCTGTTCGTTCTCCCGCAACAATCTCCACCTCATAAATATTCTGGATGTTCTGGCGCTCTAGCCTTTCAGCATTTGTTCGGGCTGATCAACAAGGCCAAGAAGCCTAACGTTTAGTTTCTTAGCAGTTCGTGATGGAATCCTAAGGAGGCCCGAACATGGGGACACAGAAGGACGATTTCTCAAGACTTGCTCTAGGGTCTTTGTTGAGGACTGGGGCGATGCGGCTCCCCTCTGCCTGAAGGGGCCCTGTGGGCTTCTGGATTCGGACATTGAGTAGGAGGCTGGCCTTCACAGGCAGGATTCATCTTCCCAACCGATAAAGGAACGCCAAGCAAAGATGAAGGACTCGTGTTCCCAACCCTCTGGGAGGCATTTATTGCAGCTGGGCGAACAAAAGAACAGAGAGCCACCACTGCGGAGGCGCGGCTCTTGGAAGAGACTTTAAGGGTTGGGACGATGACTCGGAGACGTTTGCAAGGATTGACCATTTTCAGGTCTTGTTGAACAAAAAATGGCTCTCAAAAAAGAGCAGGCTGCTGGGGGGATAGCATGATCTATGCTGTTTTGTATGTATTTTGTACATACATATATTGGGACATATGGGGACGGCACAGTAGCCACCGCGCTCTGCTGATCGTACTGACTGTACTAGCACAGACCAGTCAGGCCTTCTTTGCAGAGCTGGGGATGTGCTGGCGAAGGCAGCAGAAAATGGTGATGTGAACCTCTCGGGAGTTGGATGATGCTGAGCCACTTCTGAGTGAGACGCAGCAACCCATCGCATTGGCTTTGCGCTTGATGAAAAACACCACATGAATCGTGGCTGGACCTGGCTGATCACAAAGATCCAGGACCAGATTCCCGGCCGAAACTGCGAGGCACCTTAGTGATCATCATGCAGGGAAGTACTATGCACTACACACATCCATTCGATCTTTAGTCTTTGACCACATGGGAGAAAAAAAACACCCCTGGAATCCTTTGGTGGAGATGTTGACGAGAACAACCCAAACATCCATCTAGTTGAATGATGCAAATGCTGGAAGAGGCTCAAGGCACAAGCGCGGGTGCTTTGCCCAGCGAACCTGGCCATCGCGGCCGGGGATGACAAACCTTCATGGAGTGTGGCTTGTACACAGCATTCTTATGGCGAAATCAGCTGCGTGAGATGGTAGCAAACAGAAGGTAGTCACCGCTGCAAAAGACAGCGCATGCTGGAGCTGCGAAGCAGTGCATCGGAAGTGGCAAGGCCGCCTTTGATTTGGGTGCACTCCTGTGGCCGTCGAGACCTGAGCCATGCTGCAAACTAGCGGGATCAGAAGGAGGGTGCAGGTGCAGCATTGTCACTAGGGAGCCCAGCACAGTCGTAAAGCTGAAGTGGAGTTCCCCTCTCAGCCTCACCACCTCAGCATAGCAAACATCCAACATCGACATCCTTAGCACCTCATCTAACGAAATGACTGCGCTTTACGTCTGGCGTGTCATCCTGCGCAGTCCCCACTGCAACTGTCCGCGATCGTTCGTGTCTAATTGCATGAGAACACAGGTGCATAAGGGCCTCGGACGTCCAGGCACTTCTTCGGGAGCTCCGCCAGCCTGCCCACCATTGCCAAAAGAGCTTTTGATGCACCCACTGAAGGATAGATGAGACCCCACCTGATCTGGCCTTTGTCCTCAGGAACGAGGAAGCGCTGAGCTTTGGCGCCGCCTAAGAATGAACTGCATGGAAGGTTGCATCACTTGATGTGACTTGCAGGCTCGGGGCGTGGCGATCTAGCTGGCACTTCGAAACATGGATCAAATTCCTGCGTGGCAGAACCCTAAAGCCACACCGACAAGTAATGAAAACACAAGAAAGTCCCACAGAAGCCCCGAAGTGATCGTCCTGTTGGCAAAATCCTCGGACCTTGAAGTGAGAAGATGTCAAAAAGGTTTGGGCTGTGCAAGAGGCTAGCCGTTCAACCCATACTCTCAGCCAAGGAGCATGACGTCCAAACACTGGGAGGTGTTTGAGGCCGGTCGAATGGCTAATGAACCAAGGCCTAGGCACGCACACGCACACACGAGCACACACAGCAATTGTCTACATATATGTATATATACATGTTAGCCTAAGCATACACAAAGGTATCTAGAAACCGGTAGCATCCCCTCTCCGGCGAGCATAGCAATGCACTCGAATAGCACCACGAGGTGTTGTCTGCAATGTGCCCGGCTTATTTGTGCACGCGTGTTGCTGGCACAGCACAGGTGGTTCTGCCGATCGACCATGTTTTCACACCCCTTGGTTCTCCGCCTATTTGCCATAGGGGTTCGCCGGTCCTTGCCTAGATGTTGTCTTGGCCCGCCCTGCTTTGACTGGCTCGGTGCTTTGGGCATGTCGCATGCTTCAGTCGTTGATGCTGACTTTTACGAGTTCGTGCCGGACAAGATCCCTGAGGTTGCGGGGTTTTGCTTCTCCTTTCCTGCTCCGCCTGCAGTTGACGCTTGTTACTTTCAACCCTCTGCCCGGCCGTTGAAGTCTCTCCGTGCACAGTGTTTGTGGGCCGTGCACGTGCTTTGCGTTACAGAGTTCCTGCTTCGCCGCGCCATTGCGTGCCCGTGCGGATTTCTTTTCCAGTCTCCTCTTCCGCTCTGATGCCTCTCTCGAGTTGGCTTCTCGCCATGGCTGCCCGAAATCCAAGGCTGGAGGAGCTTCTCCCTGTCTGTTTCACCGTTGAATTCAATTTGCATTAGGCACGTCGTGACGACTTTCCGCCTGACCGAAAGAAAAAAGAAAAGCACCACAAGCACAATGTGAAGCGCACGAGGTGCAGGGTGAGGAGCAACTCAAGGACTCAAAGACTATGCCGACAGCTTGGCAGCAAAGGAAAGACCCTAAACCCTAAACCCTAAACCCTAAACCCTAAACCCTAAACCCTAAACCCTAAACCCTAAACCCTAAACCCTAAACCCTAAACCCTAAACCCTAAACCCTAAACCCTAAACCCTAAACCATGCCAGGAATTGGGATGAGAAGAAGAGCTAGAGATGAGGAGAAGAAGGTGGCAAGCTACTTCTGCAAGGTCCTGATGGTGCAAAACCCTGAAGCCAAGGAGTTCAAGGCAGCACTTCTGCACCACGAAACGGCCCTAAACCCCAAACCCTGCAGACTGGGCATATGAAGGCGCGTGAAATGTGAGGCTTCGAAACCTTTTCCGGGCTCGTCAGTGCCACAGAGAGCTGGGGTCCGAGAACTCGTAGGTTGCAGCCTGATGGCCACTGGAGCTTTGGGCTCTAACTTGTGCGGTTCTTGCTGGCCCCTGGGCAACAACTGAGCATGACGCCACACAGTCCGACAGGAGCAAGGTGCCTCAGATGACTTTTCAAAATTCGCATCGTTCTCGTCGTGGGGAGTGGCTCCGGGGTTGTCCATAGGGCTTGGGGCCCTGGGGGCTTCAGGCCTTTTAGGGGCTTGAGGGGTTTCAAGCGCCAGGACTCCAGGATTTAGATTTCAGGGTCTTGGGTTCATGCCTAACGGTTTGGGGCTTCGGGGTCAGAAGCACGAAAACAAGCGCGCGATGGCAAAGCAGGCGACTGTGGCCCCAGAATTCCGGCACGAAGAGCACGTCGCCTGACCTCTGCTCCAACTGAAGGCTTCCAGCGATCGACGCCTCGGATAGACTTGCGGACTTAGGGTCCTAGGTTTTGAGGGGGTGGGGAATAATCTGGCACAGGGGCAGGACTTAGACGCTGGACGTCATTGCTCTGAGACGATGTGACAACGTGACACCCAAAAGCGGCCAACCAACTCTCGTGACTCCTTTTAGGCCTTACAAGGTTGGCTAGCCCGCATCGGGCTTTGGGTTTTAGGCCTGAGAACCGACTCTCATGCTATGGTTTGCGAGCCATCAGCCGTTTGGGGGGAGGTTTGGGTAGGGTTTAGGGGTCGGCCCTCTAAGGTCTCAGATCACCAGAAACATCGAAAGCCTGGACAGGCACGATGAAAAGTGGAGGCACATGGGTAGAGCTGCGAGCGACTGGAGAATGTGGTGCTCGCGAGCAGCATCAGCATCACTGCAGACGCGGTGCAGCTTCGTTGTCCAGAAGGGTGGGGGCCATGGACCAGTGCGTGTGAGACCTCAACTGCTTCAGCTGCGACATGAAATGTGGGGAAAGATAGAGCCCCAAAGTGCGTAAGTAGTAGTGATACATTACATTTTCCAGCTGCAAAGGAGAAGAAAACTCCCCCATGTTGAGCAGGTACCGGTTGCTGAGATTCAGCCGGGGAGCGGCGGCACCAGAACCCAACGCTTCACTCCAACGATGAGGGCATTCCTCACCGTGTCACCGCGTTTGGGCCCGGTTGGGGGCTGTGGGGCTTGGGATGGCTTGGGCTTGGGATGGCTTGGGATGGCTTGGGATGGCTTGAGATGGCTTGGGTCTCCGAGTGACATCCAAGCATCAAGGCCGCTTGGTGTGCATGGAGAGGTGCCCCGGAACCGGCTACACCAAGAGCGACCTGCCCAAAAAAAATTAGGAGGGAAGGGTGGGTCCCTGGCCCTACACAGCCACAAAGCCTAAACGGAAAGCCCCTGAGCCGAAGGCATTGCAAGACATGGGGGCTATTCCAGATGACGGTCCGTGTTTGCCAAAGAGGGGGTGCCCGTGAGATCAATCCCCATGGCAGGGAGCCTGCGGAGAACGCACGGAGGAACCTGCAGGCAAGGCCTCAGGCAATGGCACCTGCTGAGAGCAGCGGGGCGCGAAGCGTGTTCAGGCTTTGGGGTTTAAGGAGTTTAGGATGAGCAGCGCCCCCGACCTCTCTGAGAATGTGCCGTTTTGCCTCATCAGGCGGCGTGTCAAAGGCATAGCTGGGTGAGGCCTCGCGACGAATCGCCTGCAGTACTTCTGTGGCCATGAGGCGATTCTACGATGCCGTATCTGTAAGTCAACCACCACCAAGCTCCCCAACCCGAAAAGCCATCACAAGCCCTCAACCCACGAGCAGTGCGAGCTGCCACTGGATAACCTTGAGCTGGCCTCAAGGGAGGCCACAAAGTCTCCCAAGCTGGATGGTGTGGGTGCCGAGCGCCAGCGCCACCTTCGGCTTCTTGGCAACCCATTTTCTAGAGCCCTATAGGAGTCTTAGCGACCTTTTTTTCGGCATCTGAGGCTTCCACCAGGCTGTGCTTGCCAAACGAGTTGCTCCGAGCTTCTGTGCGACATAGCTCGGCGACCAGAGGTCGCTCGCCTGGGATATCAGAATCTGCTCTGCCGAAAAACCATGGAACACTCTGGAAGACTCTGGATATTCTTGTCAGGGTGCCGGAAAGCGGGCCGCGCCACCTGCAGAGCTCTTCCGCACCGAAAGGACTGTGACCTTTGAACTAGGCAGCGCCTCTGACGAGGAGGGGGCGCTGCAGCGCGATGGCTTCCTGCAAGTGCCGTTGCCATTCCTCCGGACCCACCACCGCCAAACGTGGGTCCATCTCCTTGCAGGATTCGGGCTAGTAGAGGCAAGGGATCTCTGTTCCTCAACAAAATCGACATAGGCTCTTCGGGAATCGGCTGTTCGCATAAGATAAGCGGCGAGCGGCTCCACTGCCGCTTGCGAGAATTCAGAGTGAGATGTGTCCAGCTTCCAGCCACTCGCTGCGGCTGGAAGGGGTGAATGGGAAAGGCCGGACAGGCTTTCGGGGTGTTGTGGGGAAGTCTTGTCTCTGACAATGTCCTCGGCTGTGCGCCCATGTCTGTCCCGCTTTCTTGCGGTGAGAGGCTCCAACAGTTCGAGAACCGCGGCCTGGCCGTAAAGGGCTGCAACATGGGACGCACAGCGACCATCATCGTCCTGGCTTTGTGGGCAGGCCCCGTGGCTCAGAAGCTTCCTGACCAGCTCGGTGTTGCCTACAGCGGCTGCGTAGTGCAAGGCCATACATCCGGCAACCTCCAATCTCTGAGAGCCGAGCAATGCATCGGCCACTAGCAACTGCCAGCCATGCCATCTGGGCACAACATCCAAGGGCGACACGGCCAATTGGCGGGCAAGCTCACGAGGGGATGAAGGAGATGCCCCGCACAGGCGAGTCGCAAACGTGTATCCCTGCAATGTTTCCCTGGCCCTGGCTTCAGCCCAGTGAGTCGCGCTGCGAAGCGGCTTCAGCATGTGCGGATCGGGCCCAAGACCTGGTATGTCGAGGCATCTAGCAAGCTGCATGTCGTTTGGGAGTCTCGTTTCGAAGCTGTATACACGCCAAGTCACCGGCAGCTACGTGAAGAAAGAGCATGTTCAGCTTGTGCAAAGGCCTTCTTCGCAGAGCCTGCAGCAAGGCCCCGGCCAAGCCCGCAGCCGCGCTTTCCTGCCGCTTCGGCCGTCGCTGCGCGAGCAGCCGAAGGGCCCGAGCGCCGTCCCTGCGCAGAACGGCCCGGTGCCAGAGATGCTCGGGCGCCGAAGAAGCCAGTATCTTGCAGGAAAGGTCGTCAACGCACAAACGAAGCTGTGCACCCCAGCCAAGAGCCATCCTCCCATTGGGCAAATGCCCTTATGAATCGGGCCTGACGGCTTGACCGAGTAGCGGGTTCAAGATTCGGTTTTCAAACATATACTACACATCAACAGGATGACTCTCAAAGCTCCTCGACAGGCAGGTTTGTGTCCATGATATACCGATCAGGCTCATAAAAAATTCGTCTTTGAGCACATGCATCTTCGGTGGTCAGGCCAAAGGATAGCCACGAGCGTATGCAAAAGTCAAGAGAATTGGATAAGTCAGCTGCCTTGCCCACATAGCACAACATCGAAAGGAGGGCGATAAGGGCATGACCTCCATGCCAATCAAGGCATGCAAATCAGAAAACACACAGCCATCGTCGTCAACGCCAATACTACAAAACCGAAGCACAGATCTGTACAACACACCAACATATGGAATAATGAAGGCGGCAGATGCAAGCTGGGAGCTCTGCGGCCGCTCTGCAAATCCTTTGCAAGCCTGCGCCCAGGAACGTTCAGGCACGTGATGAGTAGTGCAGGCAGATATACTCATCATGGGTTAATGCTTACGGTTCCGAAAGGGTTGAGGGGAGTTGAAAAACACATCCGTGCAATCTTGTCTGCATCGGCCTCGTAGTGGGCACTGCGGCTCGCAATCTCCTCACAAGTTCGACTTCATGGTCTTTTCGGCCCTCAACTCTACATTCTGAATCTTCCGCTAAGCCTGGCACCACAGCAGCATGGAGCAGGCCAGCCTCCTCCAGTCTGCCCCGGTTGGGAAAGCAGTCTTTAGGTTTTTCAGGATTCAAGGTATGAGAAGTGTGCTGATCTTCAGTAAGGGGGGTCGAGCGTTGAGGATGCTGCTGATGACGATGATGGTGATGATGATAATGATGATGATAATCATAATGATGATGTTGTTTCTATCGTCTGCCTTGGGGTACACACTGCTAAGTGAGACTTCGAGCGATCGATTTGAAGATCAGTGGTGCCAGAGCCAGAGCATCAAGCGAGCCAAGGGAGCGACCCCATTGTTGCCTAATTCTCGGGCCATGTAGATGTACAGGGCGCTTGATGTTCGCACAGACCTCTGACAATGGTGCTCCTGCTTGGCAGGGGCTGTGGACATTTCTGGACAAGATCGGGCTGCGACTGGCCAAGTCACAGACTGCAGTGGTTTGACCTCTGCAGATTTATTGCCACTGCCCACCTCTGCATGCTACGTAAGCTAAGGCTAAAGGAGTTCAAGTGCATGCCTAGCGGTGAGGTGGCCTGGCATGACTACAAGAAGAATCAATCTCGGAGCCTCGGTCTTGCTCGGCTCTTCATAAAGATGGATGACAACGGTTCACTGTTCTGCGCGACATCCCTCTCTCGCTCCGCTAGTGGCGACAGCAACATATAGCAACTTGCGAGTTACAAGGTTTCACTCAGATATCCCTCTAGAGGGCAGGTGGGAACAGAATGGACGCTCAGACTTGCAAAATCTGATGCGCTGCCTGCGCCTGTGTGTGCATGAGGGCAGCGAAACTGAAGCGAAGGACCGCAAATGGGGCATCCTGCCCAACGACACTAAGCATACTAAGCCCATCTAACCCCAAATCAGGAACCTTCGCCGTGCCCCGGCCTCTGCAAGATGTTCGTCCGATCTTTTGGGAACGAGATCTTTGAAATCTTCCTCTGAGGCGGACACCTCTGCGGGCCCTCAAACACTTAGCTGCGCCTAGCTCGGAGCCGGGTGTACTGAGACAAGCTGAGATAATGAAGACTCCAGATTTCTTTACTGCCAGCAACCATTAGACATTGAAAGGATCCACAGGGTTTCTGGCGTGCTTGTTGCGTACCAGAGCTCGTGAACTTCGTGCAACCCCTGGTAGCCGTGGGTTGGCCAGTCGAGTTTGGGCAACTAGTTGGCTGGTTACGGCAGGGTTTTAGGGTCCACAGCTTCCATGGCGGCAAACTTTTTGGTGAAATCTCTGCAGATGCTTCCTGAATTCGCATGGAGGAAGGAGGAGGATGTCTGACAGCAGGGCTTTTGGAACACCAAATGGGTCTGTTCTACTTTCGGGCCCCACCGCCCTATAGGTGCGTGCTGCAAGGGGATCCATATACAAAGAACCTCGGACGTCCTCCACCTTCCCTGCAGAGGCTAGTGATCGCTGCCGTTAAGCAGATGTTCCGACTCCTCTGGTTTTTCACCCCGTGCCAAGAGCAAGTCGGCGTGAAAGGTGTCAATGAGCTTGTTCATACTATCGAACCTTAGGTGCACGGCAAAAGTGTGCGCAAGAAAGAACCGTTTCGGAACCTTCATAAGAACCATACCCCCAAAAAGGAAACCTAACTTCGAACCCATACATGCCACCTGGCCAAGTCGGGTCGCAGGAGATTGTCCCTAAAGCCCCATTGGTGATTGGTTCGCTTTGGGCCCTATGTTGTGACCAGCTTTTAAATATGCATAGCGGCCTGGAATAGATCCGGTTTGGGGCTGCACACAATCCTTAGAGATAAACAACCCTAAACCCAAAAACCCAAGTGCAAACGCCAAATCCCCTAAACCCCAAACCCTAAAACCCCTAAAGCCCCAAACCCCAAATCCGCTAAACCCCAAAACCCTCGAAACGGAGGCCTCTTGGGCCTGGCCAAGGTGCGCTTCGCCGATCTCATCTTCGAGCTGTTCGAGCGTCTTGATGGTGTCATGCTCATCCTCGGCAGGGTTTAGGGTTTAGGGCTTAGGGTTTAGGGGTTAGGGGTTTTGGGTTTAGGGTTTAGGGTTTAGGGTTCAGGGTTCAGGGTTTCGGGTTTCGGGTTTCGGGTTTCGGGTTTAGGGTTTGGGGTTTCGGGTTTCGGGTTTAAGGGGGTCCGCTTGTCGCCTTGTACCACAGTAAAACACACCCCCCCCCCCCTCCGGCTGCCATGACAACTCACTCTTGCTATCGTGATTACTCTTCTTGTCATTTTCCAATTCCTTTTCCTGGCATAATTGTGGCTTTCTGGCACCACCTCATCAAAATCCCCTTGGGCTGGGGCTATGCAAAAAAGGTTTAAAGCCGACCAGAAGCCCTTAAGCCTCCAACCAAAATTTCCGGAGCTCAAGGTTCAACCTTCAAACGCAACCTCTACGACCTCCAATCCGAAGAAGCCATCAAAAGCCCAGCCTTCCAGAGGTCACATTGCGCAGCAATCACCTCGCGGCTTCGCGCCTCCCCTCGGGCCAGCATGATGCCCTGGAGCCGAGGGAGATGGCCATATAGGCTGTACTGGGCTTTAGGAGGTCTTAGAGGAGGAGGTCAGGAGCCTCTTAGGGGTGTTAAGGGCTCAGGGTGTTGAGAGCTCAAACTCGAGGCTGGCTCTCGCCCTATAGAGCCCCTGTTGTGGCTTGAGCCTTGGCCCAAAGGGACTCCCTCTGCATGCAGAAGCTCTGAGCTCCTGGTATGAACCGCATCTACTCCCACTTCGCAGCTTCGCGTTCCACTTGGAAGCATTACCAGAGAGGCGGATACACACAAGCCACCCCAGCCACCCCTGCCTCCACAAACTCCTCCGAGTCCAGCGTGCCTGAGTTGTTGTAATCGAGGACGTCGAACAAGGTCTCCACCTGCCGCACGTCGATCTGCACCTGGTCGGATGCTGGCATGCCCTACCCCTCGACACCCGAATGATGGCTACAAACATCTGGCTTGGGACATCTTGCGATGTAACAGCCTCATGCATCAGCTGCATAACGGAAGGAATTTGCATGGCTCCCAGAAAATCCTGCAGGACAAGCGCAGGACATGGTAGATGTGGTGACCAGCATCCTGCCCTGGTGCCCTGAACCCTTATTCCTCAGCTGCGGCAGCTGCTATGCAGCATGAACATCTTCGGTCCTTCTTGGTGATCTGGCCAGTGTTTTGCACGTCAGCAGTCCTAAGTCTGAGATACTGCTCGGAAGACCACCCAAGCAACTGGAGCCTGATTGGTCTCGTGAGCGGTGGCCACTACGCCGCTACGCCCCTACGCCGTAGGACAAATCTGGCATTTCGCCAGGCTTCTGGAACACTTCCAGAATCTTCAGCATGGCACTGGCGTCTTTTTTCTCCTCGCCACAACAGAACAGCACAGAAGCTTGCTACCATTGCACTTGGGTTTGCTAGAGCGCATCCAGTTGCCAGATGCCTGCATCGTCTCTTGTTCTGAACCGCAACTTCACATATTGATGGTAGAGCTCTCTCCGCGGAAGCTGCCCAGCCTGTACCGACCGCATGTCTTCCTGCCGCTCCTTTGCGTGCACACCTTGAGAGCACAGCCAAGAGCACGCAAAGCCCATACTATCCCCAAGACTGAGAAAAAGACTCAACCCCTCGGCTCAAAATTCTACAACCCAAAAAACTGAAACGCAGAAGCAAGGAGAAAGGAAACGAGAAATGGACTCTGCCCAGGTGCAGGTATTCTGCACAATGACCGCAACCACGACATTCCTGAGATGTTAATCCCTGCAAATTTACAAATCGGTGACCCCAAAACATGCAGAGAGTGTCAGGGCTGAGCTCAGTCACTGACACATCACAGCCAACGCTAAGAGCAACAGCAGCGCATGCAGCCAAAGCACATTACTGCAAGACCTCAGCCGTCCGAAGACTTGAGATGCCAAACACCTCACACTGTGGGCCTGCCGCAAAGAGACTGGTACAGAAGATGTAGAGCACGAAGAAGATCTCCGCACCCTCATAGAAGGAGGCTGTATGCCGGGCAATGTCAGCCCACGTCTCCATGGTCATGACCTTGAAGAGCGTGTACATGCTTTGCCTCAGTGCAGTATCTGAGATAAGACCAACAAAGGATGGAGAACCACAACCTCGACTGCAGACAGTGGACCGCAAACCTCAACAAGCAACACAGCTTGCTCTTCCAAGAGGCGGAAGGGAGCCGAAGTACTCTAGTGTCTTGGCATCTGCATTAACATCCCTCCCGAACGTTTGCGTGACGAAAATCGCCGGAAGGTACATCATGACCTGATGGAAGAAACCATCATGCAGGTTTAGGTTTCAACTCACCTAGGAGGTCCGAAAACCGAGGCCCGATCTATGAGGAGCAGCCAAGCCCAAGCAAGTGAACTCAGCGACGCCACGATACCTTATCAGGTCAACAGAGAGCGAAAGAGAAAGAGAGAGAGACAGAGAATTCGAGAGAGAAATGGACAGAGAGAGAGAGAGAGAGAGAGAACAAGAAGCAACGGATTGCAATCGTGCTGATTCGCTGACTTTCACATTCTTGCCCGGTGCTGCCAGGAAACCCTCCACCAGGTACCACAGGCCCTTGAATAGTCTGAGCAGTCGTAGAACCCGCACAAACCGAATCATCCGGGCGATTCTCAGGGTGGCAAGTGCTTCGGAGCTGGATTCGGGGATCTTCTAGGGCTTCTTAGGACCACAGCGCACAATGTCAGTTCCACCAGCACTGCATGTGGTGTTGAGACCCATCCTGCCTGAAAACAACTTTCAAATTTTGGGACTGGGATGTATCCGAGAGCAGGAAAGCAAGCACGAAATCCTCAGCACTCGGCGCATGCAGGAACACGGCGAAGACCAACAAGCATGTGGCATGGCTCTCGAGGGCAACCGGGAGTTGTGTCAAACCTATGCATCTAAGCGTCGTCAAACAACGAGAACAGCACCAAGAGCGCATCAAAGATGTTCCAAGGATCGCACCAGAAAGGAAGGCCTGCATGGCTGATCTCTACCAGGTTCCAATCATTTCCAATCGTTCCAACACCCTAGCA